ACGTCATAGACATTGCTACACATATTTGCTTGGGATATATCGATTGCAGACTAGCTCCCAGCAATGTGACCTTAGTGTGCTCGTACAGAGCGACTTCACCTGTTCAAAACAGGCTGAGCTGGCTGCGAAAAGAGGCAACCAGCACGTCGGCGTGCTGCGAGGAGCATTGGGGAGATTTGACCCGTCAATCTTCCCAACGATGCACAATTCCTACGTGCGCCCGCCTGTTGAATACACTATCCAAGCTTAACAACCTTGTTTGCAGCGCGACCTAGAGGCGTTAGAGGCACCACAAGGAACAGCAACAAAGAATGTAAATGGCCTGCGCCACCACTTGCCACCGAAGGCTGAAGTTGCTGGGCATTTTCAGCGGACACTACAGAAGGCTGCGCGGCGATTTCATATTAGCGTATCAAATACTGAATCACCACAACCACGTATGCCGCTACTTGCTGAAAATTAGCCACAACACGCAGCTCAAGGGTGCAACTACTTGAAATTGAAGGAACAATGTAGCCGTCTAGAGTGTCTACGTAATTGCTTCTCCCTCTGGACCTGTTAACCCTGGAACGCACTTCCAGACTCAATTGTATGTGCCTCCACATTAGCTGTTTTCAAAAGGGATTGGATATCGAATTGCATTGTTTGATGAACGGATAGTCTGGATACGCTCAAGCTAACTAGCCACCTTGGAATTATGGCCAACAGTGTCACACGTAAATCTGTGCAGAAGGGCAAGCAATCTGCTTTTACTTGCTATAAGTACTAACCCTCACTTATTTTTATTTGTTTTTGTCTGTACTGTCTCGCTCCCAAAACCACCCCCTTAAAGCATTACTCAGTCGCTTCGCCCATGAGTAGTTTATCTGGTCCACTTTTGTAATATTTAAATCATGATTTCTTCTAGTACCCATCTACGGGACATGTTAAGCAAACAGTTTTTCTATTGTTATCCGACTGTCCTTTTGCCCAAAGAGTTTACAAGCAAAGCATTCAGTCAAAAGATCGTACTATTCTCAGGCAAATGTCACCGCTGCCAGGAGCGGAAGAACTACACTTTCCTTGTGGAAATTCACTAAGGAATCAAAATGGAACCGTAATAGTTCAAATTAAGTGAAAGTCTGTTTGGTCAGTTCCAGATCAGCTCGGCATAGTCAGGGGTTAGTGGATTTGTTCAGCTGCAGTACATACACTTGTTCGAGTGTAAGGACAACCGATTCATGGGAAAAGTTGATACGACTGATCGACTGTAATGTGCGGTCTGACCGGAAACATGGGGAACGGCAGTAAAGAACATGGTGAACACAGTGTTTACTTAAGTTCTACTATGACCCACTAAGGACCGTTAGATAATGTACGTGTTTTCTGATGAGGTTTCCCAACATGCTCAACTAAACTGCTACCTCGCAACAACAACATGCCTTTTGGCTCTGCCGATCCGTTCGGTTTCGCTCAATACGCCCATGCGGCCACTGTACACCTGCTCGATTTGCACTCGGCGTGTAGGGCCTCGTTACAAAGCCATCACACTCTCAGTGTATTACGACACCTCCCTCAATTACATTATCATAACAGACACTGCTTTGTATTCTGCCGACACCATGTGGTACGAGTCAGTAGTAACCGACAAACACTCCTGCTGTTTTGGTATTGTTTATCGCCACCCCAAGAAATTATCCGAGGACGCACAACTCTTGCACGACGTCCACCTTACTCTATCACACAAACATCCACACCTTATTACGAGAGACTTCAACCTACCCCGTCTATTTCGTCCCGTTTTAACGACTGACTCCTTTACGTCCAGCCTCATCGATCTGCTTCACACCGCCCAGTTGTAGAACTACATATACCAGTTGACCAGATTCCGAAACAACAACCAAACGTTCCTGCTGGATCTCATCCTCGACAACGAAGTACTGATGGTTAAGCACATGTAGTATGATCCCTTTCTGGGGCTCAGCCATCACTGCATCCGCCGGTTGGACTTTGTTTGCTTTGCCGACAAACCCGTCAACAGACTAACCTATACAAAACGCTGGACCAATTACGAAAGTTGAGCACTACGATTTCCGCTAACAATTGGTCACCCGAACCTCACTTGATCGCTGACAGCACGTGGTCAGCATTTAGCTTTACCCGGTGTGAATTGTACTCCACATCCACGACCTGAAAACAGAAAACAACACTTCAAACCCATCCGAAGTCGCACCCAAAAGTGAATTGCCCACAGGGACACGGTATGGAGAATGTATTGTTCCAGTTCAACAGCTACTCACTGGGAAGCCTATCGACTTCTTCGTAACCAATGCGTTCAGCTTATACGCGGAGATAAGAGTGAGCAGGAGCCTCGACTTGTGCGCAAAGTGTCATGCAATCCCAACTACCTGTACAATCATCTCAACCTCCTTCGACACATCAAAGATGGTCATTGTGCTGAAGAACTCCGCAGGGCTCACACAATCAGCGAACAAGGCTGCAGAAGTCCTGTGCCAACAGTACGCATCTGCCTTCCCTGTTGCACTATCGCCTACCACGACGGCGCCTTCTTCGATCTCACCCTCAACGTCCCTGATAACGGTTTATTTCACTCGGCAGAAGCTCATGACAATACTCAAATCCCTGCGGTCAGTAGCCTCCCCAGAAGCAGATGGTTTTCACCCAAGGCTCTAGAGAACCTGCGCTGCAGCTCTAGGTTTACCCCTAGCGGAACTGTTCACCCATTTCTTCTCGCATGGTGAAGTTCCCAACTATTGGAAATGCGATACCGTTACGTCAATTTACAAAGGCGGCGCGCGTAAAGGCCCTATCATTACCGACCAATTAGCATCCTCTTTACGATATCCAAAGTGATGGAATCGATTATTGCAGTTGTTTTAGTGGATCACATTGAGGCGCAGAAATTACTGAGAATATCTGTAGCTCGGGGTGTGGATGATAGCATTGTGTGTTTCTGCAACAGAAATACCGGGCTCGGCGAACAAGGCAGAAATTACTTTCCGATTACCCGCCGAGCTTCCGGCGGTCATGCCCGAGAAGCCGTCTACGTGTTCACACGTCCTTCGTCGCGCAGCCGGTGTTCGACAGCCTCTTCAGTCGCCGTACATAGGACCTTACAAAATTTTACACCGTGCGAATAAGACGTACACTAATGACCGCGGTGGCCGACGCGAAGTCGTCACCATCGATCGGTCTACAAGCATCAGCACCAACAAACATCATCCCGACATCTCCCGAATCTAGCCCGCCGCCTCCTACGACCAGTCTCCGTGGTCGGGAGGTGCGTAAGGCTGTTCGTTTTTTCGACTATATACAGTGTAAATACGTTTAGGTTTGTAAATATTGTAAATATTTGTCCCGTTTTTCGTCAATTAAGGTTTTGAAAACAAAAAATCAAAAACCAGAAAAACCTTTTCTAAAAAATATTCAAAAACCCAAAAATCCGAACACGCAGATCATTCGTCCATTCTTTCCGGCGTTTTTTATATTTTCTCGTCTATACATGCCCCAACCCTCCCATTCGATCGACTGGCCCACACGAGTAATGTTTTCCAGGATCGGCGCAGTCAACGAGGATCCTGACGCACACGCTGGTCGTTTCCTCCGCGGGACAAGGGTCGCTTCTTCGTGGGACGACGGTCGTTTTGTAGTGACCTGGAGATTCCCAGGTATGACTATGTAAACTATTATAAATATATCAACATTATAGCTTTCTTATGTATTAGGGAATTAGGCGGTTTGCCAGTTGAAATCTTTTTCCCGTTTGTTTGAAACACGAACACGATATCCGTCTTCGGCGCGCGCGACTCCACTGCAAATGATGTTCCATCAACGCACTCGACGCCCAACTGCATCCTCCTTCTGGTGCTCTATTTTTAGCATTAGCCATCTTTCCTGCCGTCCAATAAACTTTTCCCCCAGCTTAGTTTGTGTATCCTACCCAATGCTTTTTGTTGGCCGTCTAGTTTCGTACCGAATATATAGCGCACGATCATTGCGCTATAGTTTCTTCGTGGGAAGATGGTTGTTTCTCCGTAGGACGAAGATCATTTTGGCGCGGGGTGGGGTGCGGCGGGTGGAGAGACCACTCCCAAGCGTTTGGCATCAGCTGAGGTTGAGGTCCTGTCGGTCTTTTTCTGGGCTAGCCAGTTTTTTGAAGTCCGACAATCCCGTTCCAACGGCTCGCCGAAACGCACCTTTCCCTGCAACCAATAACTAATAAATCAAACGGCACAGCGGACTCGGACTTCCGGAGAACCTCCATTTGACTCGAACGCCCACTCACTCGGCACGATTTCGCCCAACCAACTTCGAGTCACTCGTCATTTTCGACTTCGAAGGCTTCTTTTGTTCCGCCTCCTGGGGGGGGGGGAATTGTAGCGCCCCAAAAGGTTACTATCTTTTGTGTACAATTTCGCTGATGACCAACTGTACACTATTCTTACTTGTTTTAATCACGCTTACATTACGTCCATATTGATCTACATCCGGCTCGACACTTGACCGTCTTGTAAGTTCCCGCGTTAACGTGTTGCTCCTGTCTCGCTTCATCCGTCCGTGTCTTCTTGTAGCCCATCGAATACAGTACACTGTGTCCGACTCCCATTGACTCCTGATATATGCGTGCTTAATTTCGCGCACCGTCTCGGACTAGTATTTACTAGTCCTACACTACCTCATTCTATTAGTATTACGGTTCTTCCTAAGTATCCACGACTCAGGGCATCTACTTCTATTTCATCAGATCCACTGCTTTCCGTCTCGCCACCAGCAGTCAGACAGAAACCCCGTCAAGCGGCGACGCCTGAAGGTTGCAGGTTCACACGCTCTGACTCATTCGACGCTAGCTGAATCAACCAACGTGATACACGACAGGGGCGATCCGTGATTGGTTTGGCTCCAATGACCTTGTGGAAGGTCGTTTCGCATTTCGGTCAATCGACTCGGTCCTGTCTGGCTTGTCCTACATCACATCTCGGGTTGTCCGCGGATGGGTGTACCTCCGCTCCCGTTCCCCGAGTTAATCCGCAAAGTCACACTTCTCGATCATGATCCAAATGTACTATCATGCGCAACAGGTTGGTGAGCTTCTATATGAGACTAGAAAAGAAGAATTCTTACAGGCGCTTGATCCCTCTGCGCCCACTCCGCATGGTGCATCTACGATCAAAGCTTTATCTTTGTGCACTGTTGTGGGCTGGCTTTCACATATACGGAAGTTTGTATCCGGACATAATACCACTGTGCCGAGAGCTCATATTCGTCGTATCAACATGTCTGCAAAACGCGCCATTCTTCTACTGCGGAAAATGGTGATCGAACATGAGAAAGTACACATGGATAAAAGTTCATCCCACCGTAATCTTGCGAGGCATCTCGATTTCCTTGCAGTGAGTTTCCCGTTATTAACCCTGTTCATTTTTCCATGTATCTTGTGACTCAGTGCAGCATAGTTTTCCGGAAGCCATCATTTACATAAATAAATGTGAGAAGCAGGTGCAAAGAGACGAGTGTGATTGTTCTTTGTAATATGGTGCTTCACGGGTCATCTCATTACCGCTGAAGTCGTTTTTATAAAGTTGTGTGCCCACAGTTTTATGATCACTTTACGCATCAGCTCATATAAATAAATAAATAAATTCTCATCCTTGTAAGTACGAGGCACGCTTCGACAGGCATGATCATAAGGCTACCGCACTGTTGAAGTGTCAGCCACAATGCATGTATTTATTAAAGGTGTAAAATTGTTGTACATGATCTGTAAAAATAAGTATTTTGCACGGATGCAATGTTTGAGATCGTCAGGGTTGGGGTTCCTTTGTGGAAACGTTTGATTCATTTAATAGTGAACACTCTGGAGTCATAAATCTAAGAAGTGGAAGAATCGTGTGAGGGATTGGACCCATGGTCATTGTAAATATGGATCGCAAGTCCTTGTCAAAAAATGTCGAGGCATTCGTGAATGGGGCTGCCTTCTCAGTCGTTTGTAGTTGTTTCGATGGCGCATGAGCTTACTTTGTATCCTCTTCAGGTTCAACTATCCCCATTGGACTTGTGTCGGGGAGGTGATGAGGTGATGATTATGAAAGCGGACCTGAAGAGGCTAGTTACGTTCGACCACCGGTGCCTTCGTAATTTGGCTCACATCTGATGGGAACACCGCGTGAGCAACGAGCATGTTTGACGCCTTGTTTACGGCACAGGAAATGAAAATGAAATGTGTCAGCTTCTACGCCGTAACGGCGCTTCGCTGCCGCGCGACCACCACCAGTCGCGCGCGGGCTGAGTATACCGCGAGGACGCCCACCCCTACGCGGATTCGAACCGGTGACCTTATGGTTGGAAAGCAAACGTGCCAACCACTCGGCCACCGGCACAGGAAAAGGAAATGAACCGCTCTGCGCCGTCATTTCACGCACCAGGCTCCGATGGCTCTGCCACGTGTTACGCATGCCAGCCCACCGACTCCCGCGACGTGCGTTATTTGCGCGCCGGTGGTGTGGATGGAAAAAGAGGAGGGGTGGCCAAGCGATGACTTGTCGAGAGGAATGAAGGCCTTCACTTCGAAGCTGGCCTCAGTTGGAGCGTCTCGGCTCCCTGGTTGGGGTCCGAAAGACGATGAACACGTTTGGTTGGACACACTTGCTGATATGGCAAGGAGCCGACCTCAGTGGCGTTCGTGCTGTGAGTTTCTTTGTCCCATCCCCATCCCCCATCCCTCTTAGCCTCGCCCTCCAACCACGATCTCATTATTTAGCCTTATATAATTTTGCATAGTAATTTTTTTGGATGCACAGTAGCCGGCTGGTAGCTTACCGGAACGATGCCCATCCGTTACTGGTAGCTCAGCCGGCTTGCACCAGTTGCATTCCTTTTTTTTCCTTTTTTTCTGTGTATTGCGGCACAGTAGCTGAGGTGTTCCCCACCTCTAGCTAACGTGTATGATGATGATGATGGTGAGTGCCGATATGAGCAACGGCCTTGCCATTTGCGTAGTTGTGTTTTCGTTTAGGTGTGTGAGCCGTGCACCAAATGAGCGTCGCAGGTAAGTCCTCGTCGGGTAAATTCATCCCGTTCAGGCGAAAAGGTGATTCGTCAGAATCCGCAGAAGGCTCTCAATGGACATTTACAGACCTCAGAGAAGGCAGAGAAAGAGAGGGACGGAGAGAGAAGCATTTGCTTATCTGCACTCACTGCCCTTCTGTTGTGTTTCGAAGTACTCTTGCATCTCCCCTCGTCCGGATATATAAGGGTTATTTCTTAAAAATTTCATGCGGGATTTTCCCTTCACAAATTTCAAAATCGCAAGAAAACCTTTTAACAGATGCACTGAATTCAGATTTTTCGAGTATACTTGTCAGCTGCATACATACATTCTGTGAAATTACCGCGTTGCGTACAATAGGAAACAATATGCAAGTTCATCCATTTCTAAGGAAAACGATCGATCACTTCACCAAGGTAAGGCGAGGCTGGCCGTTAGTTTAGTCTGTTCGCACAAACTGGACTTCAGCCGCCGAATAGCTCAAGCTACGGCAAACTGTAGTAAACGGGCATTACCCTATCTGTTAGTTACAATAAACGAATCACGAGGACTTCGGCACGTACTGCAGTTTAGGATGTGCTGCGCAGTAGAGCTAGCCGGTAACTTCGGACCACTAGTGATCATGTTTTGCGGAACGTGCTCTGAACTCCAAGTGGACAACCTGCTCTCACTTCGGCCAACCTCTTTGCCAACACATTCAACTGTCAGGGGTCTTCTAGCGGAATCTTTCGGTCGCTATAAACCCAGCTTCGTTCCGCCTCAAGGAAATCTCGGAAAAAGACGAGTGTATGAGCGAAATAGACGTTTATTGTCGAAACGTGCAATCCCTTTCTAGCTAGGGGGAAGGTGTAGTCGCCAGTTGAGACGCAGCGAATGCTCTTCGAAGCGGAAAGCCGGAAGCGCGCGAAATGCGATTCGTCTGGTTAGCTGAAACATGCATACTCATCGTTCGAACAGGCATACTTCCTAAGTTGTCTAGGTGCAAAATGTTATACTTTTTAATATTTCGCACAAACAAACAGGGAAATCTAAAGGTCATTATAGTCTGCTGACACTCCGAGGAGGGCTGTCAGCGGACTGTCGAGATTTTATGACCAGTTTATTGCATCACTAGATGTTGGATATAACGCACAGCTGAGCCTGATGGTGTGGACCTCATTCCAGTGGAAGTGACTCGTTTCTATGATGAATGTGTATATTTTCCGTAGAAATGTACCTTTGGCACACTTTTTGGGTGTTTCCACTGACTTACCTGCGTTAGTTGCGTCCACGTGCTACAACCAAGGCAGCAGGTGGAGCTAGGATAACAGCAAACCTGGGGCGCTGCGCATTGCCCTATATTTCCTGTTATCCTAATCCCACCCGGAGAGAGATAGGGGGTGCGCTAAAAAATTTTCCCACAGTCTTTTGACAGTCCGAATCATGTTCAACTAGGACTTATTTCGGAATGTTAGCGAACTGTCGGCGGACTGTGGGGGGACTGTCGTGCCGGCAGGAGTATTTGCTAACTCAAATACAGTGAACGAGTTAAACACTAGGGGCAATAACATGAGGGTATGGCATGTCCAGGTTGGATTTACAGAGCAACTTCCTAATTTGGTGCAATAACACCAGTTCCGCCGCGTAACAGCATTTATTTACTGTGGAGGAGCCGGTGCCGGAATCTTCAATCATTTTGGTCTCTCTTAAGTGGCTACATGATGAACATGGAGTGTATGTAAACAGCTGATGAGTATACTCGAAATACCCGGACTCAGTGTATCCTGTTAGATTGATTTTCCTATTGCTCTTTTGAAATCGTAGGGTCAGTTCAAATGCGTCATAATAGCTGAGGTCTTTCCCACCTCTAGCTAACGTGTATGATGATGGGTCAGTTCATTAGCCGCAGCAGTGTCGACATCTCATTCACCTGATTGCTTAGTAGCTGCTGACCAGTGGTTTTTGTGTACCACCGGAGGTGGTAGCTATTTTGTGTTAACGGTCAGCATTCTCCTAATATCGACCAGGGAAGCTTTTTTGAATGCAAGTCCAGCAGTTTCTCGATTTATGTAACTGCATTGTATTATGGTCCCTCAGCAAAATTAGTAGTATTTAGTTGATGCCCAATTGGCCTCTAATCATTTTGAATGACAACTCCTGCACTCTTGCCGGATTAGTTCATGGACACTTTTCGAGCCATGTTTCCAAATCACTCCTATTCGTTCTCCTGTCTAGTCCTGGGCAACCTGCCAGTATCATTCCCACGTAATACAACTATGACTTCAGCTATGACTTCAAACCATTGCTTGATGCCCTGGCCGTCGCAGAGGATAATTAACGGTACCCTGTCTACTGCATCGAGCAGGGTTTATAGGGGTTTGGATGCTACTGCCCAAGCCTTCCCGTCCTCTTACGCTTTTTCATCCTTATCGTCCCGTCCCAACTTTACTTTTATCTCCCACCCGTTTTTCTACCCCCCTCCAATTCTCCGCTCTTCCCACCTTGCTTTGATAGGCGTTTAGCTTCTAGCTTCAACTCAGGTGCAAACGCGGAGCAGCACTTCTGCCCTATTGACAAGCCCATGTCTAACCAAGCGGTAAATCGGCTTCAATTTGGAGCCTTCGATCCTACCTCAGATTGGCATGCCTCAACGTACGCACATTAATACAGATCGGTCAACAGGCAGCGCTTATCCGAACCTCAGAGACCCTCTCGATCGGTTTTTGCTACCTATCGGAAACCCGCCTTTAGGACTTGAACTCTTTGCTCACTGTGCGATCCCATTCAGGTGACACCAGCAGTACTTCCTCATTGCGCCTATTCGGTGACGACGCAGCTTCGAGTACTGGCCAAGCCAGTCCTCGGGCTAAAGCTGCTCTGGTTGATTGGATCCTAATCAGTAGCCGGATGTGTGCGGTCCGATTGGCTGCATCGTTCAAAGCTTCGAAATCTTACGGGGCTAATAGGTGTCTATTTGTCATTGTTGCTTACGCCCCCACAAACTGTAGAGATGATTCGGTACAAAACGACTTCTATCCTCAATTGAGCGAGCTCCTTCGCCACGGAAGAAACACAGACACTAGTGCTGGCGGGGGATCTGAACGCTCAAGTTTAAAAAGTGTCCACTGTTGAGCTGCATCTAAGCAGCCAACATGATGTAGGCTTCCGTAATGATAACGGTGAGCGGTTACTTCATTTGTGTGAAGATGCTGGTTTATTTCTTGCGAGCACTAACTTCCGACACAGCACCCGCCGCAGGGTGACTTGGCGCTCAGTAGCCTCGAACCAGCTGTGGACGCAAATCGATCACGTTGCGATCACTTACCGCTGGAGAAGCTGCATCCAAAACTGTCACTCGATTTGGAC